TTAAACACCTCCAAACACTAATTTTAATATCATTTATTACCATTCTTATCACACAACTCCTCCCACACCCACACTTAAATTTAAACACCTCCAAAATTTTCCGCTCGCTTCGCTCGCGGGACTGATGATCGGCAGCTTCGCCGCCGATCGGGGCCAACGTCTTGACTCCCACCACTCGTATCAACTTCCTTTGTGTCGTCTCTGATGCAATTATTAGACATAGCGCCACAGCGTCGACAATTTTGTCATTATCCAAGAAAATGGACCTTGTGTTTGGAGGAGTTCAAGGACCCGTTATTCTATGTTGATAAGACGCCCAATCGAAACCTATGTGTGTTTCTTCCCATGCATTGACGCTGCGGTGTATTTCTATTTTTCTCCGGGCGATTCATCATTAGTTCGGCCACTACTTATCGTATTACGCACATCGAGAGATCATGGGATATTTTACTCTTCTAATGCATCTCTTGCGTGTATATTAGTTCATTCTTTACTTGACTCCTTTTGCTGTAGACCACGTTTGTTGTATATAGTATTGGTATACGAGTTACGAGTGGGACTACAGTCAGTGTAGCATCTTGTTGCAAGATATAATTGTAGAGTAGCAGGTGGGTAGTAAAATATTCGAGATACGGAGGACTACCTAGGAAGCTTAAGATGTTGCACAGACAAAATATCGTGGAGGAATTAATTCAAGCTTCAGTGCATTTCAAACGATAGAGTACAATTACGTCCATTGACGTGAACAACTCGCCAAGCCGAATCACTCCTATGCAATTCACTATAGCAACTTTAATCTACAGTGCGACGCACAATGACTATAAAAATGAGGGCACCAAGTCACTGTTTATTGCTAGCATCCTGCTACATATCGACGTAGCGAGTTTGGCATGACGTGTTGGGAGCGCTCGGTCTTGAAAGCATTGTCGATCACATGCTCGCTGTGGCGGTTGGATCGCTCCCCGATTACCACTTGCCAACGGGATATGATCGACTGCTTAAGCTCACGCTAATGCAGAGATGATACTAGTATTCTCCCATGTCGGTGCTCGAACGAGGTCCAACTTACCACTTTGCCGAACACTTGTTGTCATGATCAATAAACCATGTCTTCGTGATGGGATCGAGTTGTACATTTTTGGCTTTCCACCATTAGTTACATGTGTATGCAGCGTATCATGCCGTTTTATCTCGCCAAGGAGCAGCGTAGGCATATTGCATGAGGTGTTGGTCCACGTTGCTGGAAAGCTCCGGCAATTCTCTCGCGCGAGCCGAGCATCTCTCACTGACGGCCGCCGTGGGCCGCTGTGCATGTGATCTACGCCACGGCGCCGCACCGCAATCCACATGCATGTCAAGGCGCTGTATTGAAGCTAAATTACACTGTATGATTTGGCAAACTCTGGTTTTGGCAAAGTGGCCATGAGTCACCAGGCACATGCAACTGGGAGGCGAGAAGAGACACAGTGATGTTCTGCATCCAACGCAATGGGTCAGTCTTCCGTTAGATGCGTAAGCACCTTTGACGCCGAGTTATCATCGTCGCAACAGTCGTACGAGTCCGCATTTTTGAAATTGGCCTCCGCGCCTTAGCCAGTGGTCGCTTGCATGACCTCGGCAAAGTTAGTCGAGGCCGTCTCTGCCTCGACATGGAAAAGGGCTGCCTCGAATGAATTTCGTGCTACGAGTCGCTGGGAACTCGACCTGCATAAAAGGAGAGCGAGATGGACGCGCGTAATAGCTGGGTGATGAAAATGCATATTTTTAGTGGAAATGGCTCTCATGGTCAAATTGCCACTGTCGCGAGCGCGCAGGGAAAGAGCTCCTCGATACCAGGCATTGCCCGTACCTTCAACTATAGGCGCGGTTGTGTGTGCAGCAATGTGAGGCGAGGTGCTTTGAAAAGTGCTCAGTCGTATT